TCGGTTCCAACAATGATCAGGAGAGCAAAAAAGAAACCGAATCACTCACGGATACTGCCTCGAAGCTACCACAAGCTCGTCCGTTTCCTTTAATTTGGAACTGGGCATAAATTGCCGAAAATCGAAAGGATTTGCACTCATATCCATGCCATTCCATGCCAATACGTCCAGACAATAGAATGTCCTATTATTCATTATACAATCCAATATCGTATACACATCTGAAAAAGGAGCCGACTACAAAGAGGGGATGAAAAGTGTGATTTCTGCAAGCTACGCAACAGAAACTAGTCCAGCTCACTTGACTTTCCAGATCCTCCCGGTAATCGAGATCGAAATTGTGTGACAGTTTTGCCGGCTTTATTATACGCTGTTGTTGCGCCCTGAAGCATCATCAAGATATATACGAAAAGCGCGACTTCTTCGGAAGGTGCCACATACCTTCGCCGCCACAACTAGCACCCGTTTGCCAACTGGTGATGGTACCATCATCCATTCCGATGACAGCTGTTCCGGTATGTCCACGAGCCATTCGCTTAGCATCAGCTCATCTGCATACCTGCAAATCGAATAACATCCGGCTAAAACAAGGGTGACTAAGAACAGAAATGAGGCCTAAACTGCCACACCTTGACTTGTACTGCTTCTTCCGAAGATCTTGTGGCACTTCTTCGCAGTCCATCTTCAGCTGCTCAACAATCTCAGCCTCATCATCACTCACGTTCTCGGCCAATCTCCTCGTGTGATTGAAATGATCAAAACGGCTGTTACGTTGCCTTTCGATTGCCTAGAAGTACAGCAGTGGGTTCTGATATGGAAATCAGCACACAGGTCGGACAGGTACAAACAAACTCGAACTACAGTGCTACGGTATTCTACCACCCCGCTTGAGTTTACCTCCCCTTACTACAAAGAAGTCCGGAGGGGGTGCTATGTGCTATGGAATAACAAGGAGGACTACTTCTCAAGAGTACTTGAAGCTACCAAGAAAACCAAGTAACTCACATCTTCCCTACGCCGCGCCTGTTGCTCAGCAGCTCGTCCTGCGTTCTTGAACTTGCTGAACCGTGGATGTTCGCCTGAAAAGCTGACAGCCTATTATATGTAGACAAATAACATCAATTTTGAGCCAAGTCTTTCTTTCATATGGGTATATGATGAAAACCGGCAACGAAACCCTTGCCCGACCAGATTGACCTGTTAATGTCTGAAGGGTTCCACCTAACAAAAATCAGAAAGCCTAGAACGATCGATTTGCAAAATTTGCATGTTATAAATTATCAAGAGAACTGGATTCGAAGCTGTCAGAAAAAATGGAAGGAAAAAAGCTTCATGGTGGAAATTTGACTTTTGAGGATTCAGAAGTATAACAGAAAGCGTAGCAAATAAGGTCCAGGAGGTCAGACTTTCTTTTCTATGTAGGATCCTCTAATCTGGATAAAACTATTACTAGGGCCGACAATTCAATTCTTATAGCATATTGAGTGGACTGCAACTGTTCTTCCCTCAACTTTTGAAACAATTCACGAGGTAGTAGAAATCTGCTCTCTCGCACCCAATTGCTCTAAGTAAGCATATTTTTTAAATGTCTGATTTTGCAGAGCTGGCGGAAGGTTGAAAACATCTGCGGTTGCAATAAAGTTCGAAAGAATTTCGTTAGAGAATAAAGAGACCAAAAGAAACACAAAGTTATTAAAACACCTCGGTCGAACATTCGCAACAACAATTTTTGCAAAACCATACCGTACCCAGCGCCGTAGGATCCACCTGTGTGTCAATTAGCTGATCCACTAGTGCGTCTACGTCGTCCATTGGATTGCCCTGACGACACTCTTAAACCAAAATAATGCTCTAAAAGCAGCGCATTGGAGAATCGTGCATCGTAAATGAACTCGTACAAGTGAAAATGCTTTCGAAAGTCCGACTAAATTATCTGAAGTAGTGGCCGGCAAAACCATGGAAAAGCATTCCACAAAAAACATGATGAAAAAAATTTAATCAGATCAGTAACAATTTTCGAAGTTTAACAATCGATCAACAACAATAATAAATCAACAACTTATGCCTGATGTTCTCAGAGTAACAAAAGTAACAAAAATTTCCAATTTGCGAAAAATGGTAACCAGTATCGATGAATTCGCAATTTGTTCACCAACATTGTACCCCTTTTGGGTGTCTACCAGAAACATGAACAAAAACACAATTTGGGGAAAATAAACATATTAAAAAGAAATCAATAATAACAGACTAATTACCGCTCACTACTGCTAATATTAAACACTACAACTGCGAAAAATTAAAGGAACCTTAACAAATACTGCAACAAAGCGAGAAAGGCAACAAATAGAGAAGCAAAACAAAAAGTAAAGAAAATAAATACTCGTATGTCACGCTTTACATTGAATATCTTTAACAACTCCTCTACCCAATATTCGTATTCCTTCTAAAATCTCTTCCTTATTCAGTAAAAGACTAGATGTTCCTGCACTCTTCGCATAATGCGAACAACAGCGAGATATCTGAAAACTGGTTATCAGCTGCGAAAAAGTCACTATCCTTCTGAATTTTAGTTAAGCTTGGAGAATTTCTATAGAAATACCCATTCCCACATCCACCAGATGTGATGTACTAACTTGTAAAAGAACTTTGAAAGTCTTCAATAGCCTCCATTTAAAGTAACCAAAGTGCGAAAAAAAGTGGACTTCAATAACTACAGCCAATGCTCAAGTGAAAAATATCAAAATAAAATGATCTTGATACGATATAGCAAAATGAAGTCTCACGAAGAAGATAAAAAAATTGCTCCTCACCTTGGCTGGCACCTCTAACTCATGCGGCTTCCATTTAAGACCTATCCGATCACCACCATACCGATTCCAGAAGAACAACGCCACATGTTGGAAATGCGCGTTCAGCTCGTAGACCAACTCTTCTATAGGATCGAAGTTCACCACCGGTAAGCTCATATAACATCTCGACTGTGAATTGATCATCTGGAGACAGAATCAAGCGTTGAAACCTAGCGCTCGATATCAACCCTCAATGCGTGCATATACCGTTGTTCTACCCCCCCCCCTCCCAACCATACCCAAAAGAAGGGGGTACGAACAGAGATTTGATTAATGAATAAGCCTAGGACCTTCCAACCACAGTTCGTGGTTGGATTTCTGCCAGTGTTTTCGTAGGCTAACTTCGATCGGCACACAATAAAAACCTTCGAACAGCATTTAGCACTCATCATTTTTCTAACATGTTTCCCTAACGTAGGAAAATTGAACTGCTATGTTGAATTCCGATGAGCGCTGCACAAGTTCCTTATTCACCAGCGCGAATCAGGCACCAATGCACAAGCAACAGCTCTACACTTACCTTCACGTTTTGCGGCTGTTCATGAACGACCTCTTTACGAACCACCATCTTTTGGAAAAACTTCAATTATCGCATCATAGATGGACATATCCACAGACGAAAGAGCAGACTGAGACACGAAAATTATCAATTTTATCAAATTAGGCTTCGAAAAATTCAATAATTAGTAGACCACATTAATACCACTCAGGGAAAATTTTCCGCTGTGCCAGAGCTTTTTTCTTCGCCAACTGTTAATGAACATACCTCAATGTCTATTCTTTTATCATTTTCATAGTTCATATCGAGCACTTTCAATGTCGACGTTGCCAGTGCTATAATCCGCTTTAGCATCAAAGGAGTTGGTCCATCTCGAGTCCATCTGGAACATTGGATCAGTTGCACAAATGGTTGTGCGTTGCATCCTACTCAGTTTTCGCCCATGTTTCCCGTAGCCCACGAAAAAACTGCACAGCATTGTAACACGAAACACTGCTCATAGCCTCAGACTTGAGGCTGATTAACTACATGTCCATTATCATTTCCCCAAAAATACTCCATTATTCTCTAAGCCCACTGCTTTCATATACAGTCCTCTTCGTTTTCCAAAAATGGTGCCCGTGATCCTATAACCCTCATTTTCCTAACATCACACTTTAATTTCCCTTTACTTTTCAACAGCACTTCTTGCAAACAATAATTAATTATAAGCATAATATGCAAATATAATTAATAATAAGCAATTCAAGGTGCAACTGCTGATCAGGATTCAATTGACCAAATATGAAAAAAAAAAAGAAAAAGCTACTCACTTTGACCCAACAGGATCCTCATTCGTTATTATCACCATTGGAGGCAAAATTGGACGCATTTTCACAAAATTCGACTCAAGCTTCGCGATTTCCTCTTCTACAAAACATTGACATCGAAATAAAAACCACTGAACCTTGTAAACATAACTCAAGCAGGTAAGAGACAGTTCGATTTACAAACCATTCCAAGCGTTGTCAAAGTCAACAAAAAGGGGACGTGCCGTCCAGTTGTGTCTCACGATCAACTGCAACACTCGGCGGAAAGCAGCTAGTGGTGTTCTGAAGAAAAACAACTCTGTATTTTTTCCTTTGCTTGAAGAATGTTCGCTCAGAAAAATGATTTTCTAGCGAATTTTGGCGACCCATGAAGTAACCGTCAAACCAACCTTGGTGGCGGTAGCACAACATGCTCAAATGCTGCTGCAACGATCATCTCCATCGCTAAATCTGGGATGGCGTCCGTCATAAAATGAATTGAAGTCCATCTGAAATAACTCTTGGAGATCTCGCTGAAAATATCCCAAAAATAGGGAATTGAAATATTCGATATTTACGCACTTTTTCATAATTTGAACGGTCTCGCCATACGTCGCGTGTTTCGTGGCAAACGACTGAAGAGAAGCTTGAAGTAATGCTTCATGCACATATCTGGAAAAAGGGAAAAATCTTTACTCCACTCCACAGACGATCATTTCCGTCGGAAAATACTGCCGTTACTGCCATATTGCAGGTGACATCCATAGAGCGAGTTAAATAATGCGCCCATGAGAGAAAACATCGGGTGCCACTTTCATTAGCTGCATCAGAACATTGGGGGTGTGCTTCTCAAAAACTCGTCAAGTCCGCGTTTGCTCACCTCCGCACTCTCCAACTCGCAGCCTTGCGCAGCTCAGAGACATCGATGGTGACATGTGATATCAACTAAGAGTACCCTTATGCCTGTAGTTTCTCACACTACGCCACGCTCTCGTGTTGAACGACTCACTCCAGCCTTTCAATATTAGAGGATAATAACCAGGGGAGGCATTCAGCTTCCCATGTAACTTTGAATTGAGATCCACATATTTCGATAGAGCTTCAACTCTGATTAAA